GCTGTTTTGGTGATCACAGCTTTGTAGTAAATCTTGAAATCCGGCAATGTCATGCTCACAGCTTTGTTTTTCTTTTTCAACATTTCCTTAGCAATTCGGGGTCTTTTCTGGTTCCATGTAAATTTTAGGATTGTTCCAGCACTTTGAAAAATGTCGGTGGAATTTTGATCAGGATGACATTGAAAGTACAGATTGCTCTGGGCAGTATAGACATTTTAACAATGTTTATTCTTCTGATCCAAGAGCATGGAATTCTTTTCCATCTTCTTGTGTCTTCTTCAGTTTCTTTCATGAGTGCTCTGTAGTCCTTGAATACAGATCCTTTACCTCTTTGGTTAGGTTTATTCCCAGGTATCTTATGGTTCTTGGTGCTAGTAAATGGAACCAGTTATCTAATTTCCCTTTCTATATTTTCATTTTTAGTGTAAAAGAAAGCAACTGATTTCTGTGCATTGATTTTTGTATCCTGCCACATTACTGAATTGCTGTATGAGTTCTAGTAGTTTGAGGTGGAGTCTTTTGGGTTTTCCATATAAAGTGTCATGTCATCTGCAAAGAGAGAGAGTTTGACTTCTCCTTTGCCAATATGAATACTGAGGAAATATTATAAAAGTGTTAATACTAATAAATCTGACAATTTAAATGAAATGGACAAATTCCTAAAAGACTAAAACTATCAAAGCTTATTCAAAAAGAAATGGGGAGGAGCTAAGATGTAGGAGTACTAATAGAACCCTTGGTAGATAGATATCAACTCATTCTGAATATCCAAGAAATCAATCTGAGGATGAACAGAACAAACTACACAACTAGGAGAGAAGGAGCCATAATATGGAAGGAAGGGGGTGTGGAGATGTGATTTGGGGGAGAAATAGGTAACAGATGCTGCCAAGGGGAGGAAACCCTGGTCATGAAGAGAGGCAAGAGAGAGAAAGAGGAGGACACGGGGGATCTCACAAGGAATTCCCCAAAGCCATTGACTGGATATAGAAGGGGTTGATCTTCATGAGCTCTTTTTAAATCAGCAAGGCTCACAGACTGGAGTTTTAGAGGTCCATGGTGAGGCTGGTATGGATCCCTGAGGGTGTTGCAGTGCTCCTGTGGAGAAGGAAGGAAGATAGCCCAGGAACAAATAGTGGCATCTGAGCATCCCTTGGGATATATAGGGAGAGAAGGTTTTCCCTTGTTGGGGTGCATCTGGGAGAGGTGCATTTCCTCTCCAGGAACCAAAGAGCTCGTGAGATCCATTACCTTCCCCTTCCACTCAGCATAGGTGCAGAGACACCTGCTGAGGGTGGCTAACTTGTACACTGGCTCTTTGCTGCACTTTATTCCAAACTCCACTCTACTGCAGTTTGGTGCAACTCCTCTTGTAAGGCAAACCTATGTTAGTAGTAAAGCAGTGAGATCTTCCCCCAGAAGGCCAACATGGGCTTGTGCCACACCAGGACCCTAAAGTTGAGAATTTTAAAACTCAGCCTGCCTGCCTGCTACAGAACACAGGTGCACTGTACTACCAGGAGAGAAGACACACACATAAGGTGTGGGCAGGACACACACAGGGTGAAGGCAGAGATCTGAGGGATGCCTGGGACATATGAGGGGAGATTGTTCACTCTTCTGGAAAGGCTTCCCAGATAGGGATGGGCATGAACTCCCCTCTCTAAGGATGAGGGAGACAAATAAATAACAACATAAGAAAGATACTATTAATTTGTATCCCTCATGAAAGTGGATGGAAATTTTAACAAACTGAATCCAACGTTATATAAAAAGGGATAATATATCATGACCAAATGTGATTTATCAGGGGAATACAAAGTTGGTTTACCTTAATATTCAATCAATATTAGATTGGATTTTTAAAAGATCAATTCAACAGTGCAAGAAAATCATTTGAGAAAAATCACAATATCAACATTCTAATTCCTAACCTACCTCAATTTTTAATCTCTATGTTTCATTTCCTCTCTTGACTGCTGTTCCCTTAATCACTGAAATCATCTGTATGATCCACAAACTCCTTTTGGACATCTACTTTTCTTTCTATGTATTTTTTTCTTAAGTTATCTAATTCACTCTCTTTCCTTAAAATCACCTTTTTAAGTGTTTAATTCAAATTGTAAGGATCAAAATTTGTCGCCAACGACCTATTGCTGGTTCATAAGGGCCTCAAATTCAACAAGTCTTCAACCCAATTGATTATCTCCCCACTCTTGCACAAATTTGTCTCTCCTAAAATTGGCGGTATTATCATCTGAGTTGTTTAGTTGCCTTAACAATTCATCAAGCTTCATATCAAATTAGTCAACACACCTATTTTGTTCCATGTATGTTTTAAGTGTAAATACAAACCTATGAAATAAAATATTAATTTTCCTAGGCAACACACTTGAAAGAAAGTAACACACACACACACACACACACACACACTTCCTTTTCTTAACTTATTTCCTTAGAAAACTGTAATTGTTAATCCATTCTCTGTCTCTTTGAGACATATGTAATTCTTCTTGAAAATTAAATAAAAGTTGTCAATTTCACATTCCAGGAATATTTTTCTTAAGGACTTTGTAGGCAGGTATCTATTTCAAATATAAATATTAAGGAAGATCGCTTCCTGTCTCTCTGGCACCTTTGGAATTTAACCTTGTTGTGGTTCCAAGCTGTAACTTCTAGGTTATCCTAAAGAAATTGGAAGTTTTCTTTATACTTTGGATAAAGAAAGTTAACATGTATGACATGGACTGTATCTGTCCTGTTATATAAAAGGGTAAGATTTCTTTCTCTCCTTGCAATCTCCCTAGCACACCTGTTCGGGTTAGCACTTATTCAATAATAAAACTGCTTTGTTCCTTTCTACATTTGTGAAGAGGATTTCGGGTGGGTTGATAGAGATACTATTTTTAATTACTTTTCCAAAATGCCTCTCATATTTCTATGTCCCCCCCACTCATGGTTTAGCCATGAGTATATTGATATTTCTGGCCTAAACTATGCAAAATTCTTCTAATTAGATTTACTGTTTCCAGTCCTCATTATTAATAGCTTACCATCCCTAGGATCATGATAAGGTTTTTTTGTTTGTTTGTTTGTTTTGTTTTGTTTTATTTTATTGAGATGAAATACCATTCATTCACACTTAAAGATTTTGGGTGATTTAATATTACTCTTAGGAGAAAATTACTGACTTTATACAAGTCATTTATTCACCCAATTATGGTTCAAAACTCAGATGTTACATCCTTTCTGTAACTACATTTGATATATGTAGAGAAAACAAATTAACTATATTTTCAAAGAATTTTGTATATCATGCTAACAATGAATTTATAATTGCTAACTATGACATCTTTTATGCAAATCTGCTTTCCTTCAGCCTCTGACCTGTTTGGTATATAGATAATTTTTCTTTTTTTAAGACAGAGACAGAGAGAGAGAGAGTACTAGTGGCAAGAAGAGGCAGAGAGAGGAATGAGAGAATCTTAAGGAGGCTCCAGCCTCCGCATGGAACTGACATGGCTCCATCTCATGACTCTGAGATCATGAATTGAACTGACATCAAGAATCAGATGCTTAACTAACTGAGTGACACAGGTGACCAAGAAGTAAATACTCAAGCAAAATAAACAGACATAGATATCTTAGGATTAAATATTATATTATTTGCTACTGAAACAAAAATTTAGAAAGAAGTATGAAAATTAAATTTTCTTAAAAAAACAATTTTTGTGTTTCTATTTACAAACAGGAGGAGCAATCAATATTTGAATTTCTCTATAGGTATTTATTTTAAGATATATAAACACAAGTTTTCATGGAAGGAATATTTAAGAATAATTTGAAAAATAGTCCTTATGAAATTGAAATTAGGTAATTCTGTTTTAAATAAATGAAAATTTTTTCCAAATCTATATGTAGTTCACACATTGAAAGGCAATAAAGTTAACTTGGAAAGAACTATCATTTCATGGTTTAGTATACAGGTTGGTTACTTGCCTAATTTCAGATTTTTTTCAAAATTAACTTTTTATTGTAGTAAACTACATCTAACATAAAAAGTTACCATCTTAACCATGTTTATGTGTATAGTTCATTGCTGTAGAGTGTCTTCACATTGTGTGCAAACATCACCACCAAGCATCACCTGAATTCTTCATTTTGCAAAACTAGAATTCTATATCCATTAAATAAGTCCCCATTTCTCCCTCTTCCAAACCTTGGCAACAACAATTCTGCTCTCTGTCTCTAGGAATTTGGCTACTCCAGGTACCTAATGTAAGTGGAGTCATACAGTATTTGTCTTTTATCACTGGCCTATTTTATTTAGCATAATGTCTTCAAGGTTCACCCATGTTGTAGCATATTGCAGAATTTCCTTCCTTTAAAAAAAACTGAAATTTTCTATTGTATGTACATACCACATTTTGTTTATCTGTTCATCTGTCATTGACACTTGGGTAGCTTCCACTTGTTAGTCACTGTAATAATACCGCAATGAACATTAGCATACAATCTCTCTTCTGGACCCTGATTTCAGTTATTTTGGATATATACCCAGAATAACAATGAGTAAAAAACAACCCCTCAAAATGGGAAAAAATATTTGGAAAGCATGTATTTGATAAGTGATTAATATCTAGACTATAGACTATAGACTATAGACTTTAACCCACTGGGGCTAAAGCCTCTGACTTCAGCTCAGGTCATGATCCCAGAGTTCTGGGATAGAGGCCCGCATCGGGTTCTTTGATCCACAGGGAGCCTGCTTTCCCCTCTCTCTCTGCCTGCCTCTCTGCCTACTTATGATCTCTGTCAAATTAATAAAATCTTTAAAAAATATATATAGACTATATAGAGAACTCCTGAGAGTCAACAACAAAAATAAGCACCTGATTAAAAAATGGCCAAAGGACCACTTAGTCTCCTAAACATAGATTTTTTCTAAGAAATATAAGTGTACAGAATTGAATGAACATTTTATTTTTCAGTCATTTCATAGCCAAAATTACTTCGCCTCATGCTTAAATTATAAATCAATACTAGAATAATATACACATATTTATATTTCAATTAGCAATAATCGTGCCTCGGATAAACCTCATTAGCTACGATACTGCCACTGCGCAAAGCTACACATATTTATATTTGTTTAGTGTTTTATTTGGACTCCTTAGTTTTGTAAGAATCAAATTTATCTATAATAGAATTGATTTTTGAATTTTTAATTCTTTCTTTTTATGTGTGTTTTCACCTGAGATTTTAAATTATAAATTCAGTAGTAGATATGGTTAAAACAGGCAACTGTCTGCTGCCAAACATATTGTGAATTTCCATTTTCTGTTTTCCTTCACCACAGTAATTCAGTCATTGTGCCAGAAAACTACAATGTGGACTATTAAGATTGGCAAACATTTCACCAGCAAATGGCCCGTTACTAAAGGAGAAAACGCATTTTATGACCCTTACGTCATCCCTGAACGCATTTCCAATGTCCGCAGTTTGAAAAATAAAGCCCAAGCCCAAGAGGGCAGAGGACAGGCTGGCGTGTGCCTTCCTGTGTGCAACGGGCGGTGGGTGGGCTCCCGGGACTGCGACTGTGGCTGTGCATGCCACTCGGCAGAGGGGCGGGGTGGGCGGAGCAGCCGTGCCCTCCGCCCCCCCCCCCCACCGCTCCTCTGCCTCCCCACAGACCCTGCAATCCTCTACCCCACCCGCCGGAGTTCGCAGGGCCCCACCAGAGCGGCCACCGTTAAGCAGCCAACAGCCATCACTGTGCTAAGACCAGCAGGCTACGCAATGCTGTCTCTCCTGCTGATCCTCTATCCTCTCGTGCCTGGGCAGGCTGACCTCCGTGGACCATCTTAAGGGAAGGACCCTTCTCCATAGAAGGCCACATGCCACAGAGCCTCTGGGCATGGCGGGCCCCAGAACCTTGCTCCAGAACCCCGATTCTGGCTGGAGAGAGCCCAGTGTCTTGTCACAGCCGGCTTAGAGTCAGCATCCTCCTAGGCCTGCTTCTGGGAGGGCTTGGAGCAGAACTGGGACAGTTGCCCCTCACTTGCCTGACCCTGAACTTGGAGGAGAGGTTGCGCATCTTCTGGGAAGTGGGGCCTTAAAAGCAGCACTTCTTCACCTGCTGGGGCTGAGGTCAAGTCCCAAAGTCTCTGGATGGGGCAGGGTCCTGCCCCAAAGTGTATGGGTGGTGGAGGTAGCCTCTTCCTGTCATGTACAAAGTCTGATTTTGTGGCGGGTGAGTGAGTGCCTGTGTGTGTGTGTGTGTGTGTGTGTGTGTGTGTGTGTTGGGACTTGGAAGTTCAAAAAGTTATGGGATATGACAGGACACTCGAAGAATAAGGATGCTTCCAAGCATCTGGGGAATGCTCACTGTTAGGTCCGTAATCAAAGGAGCAAGACGGATACAAAGCTAAGGTCAAGCAAAGCTTTATTTCGCGCCAAGCATTGAGAATCAAACCGACAGGCTGGGGCCATCTCTTAGAAAGCGGCAACCCCTCCCACCTTCACAGACTAACTTTTATAGAGCAAAGGCCATGTGGTTGAGCCTGGCCGCACACAGGTGGCCAATGAGATTGCAACACACAGAGAAAACTGCACAGTCATGCTAGGTCACACACGGGTGGCCAATTGAATTTCAGTAGGCCCCTACACTCACACAAGTTTTCCTTACTGTACATCCTGAAACATAACTTCTACAAATTACAGTGCCACAGAAGATTGAGACAAACAGCAATGATGGCAAAGTTTCTTAAATGCATGCAATAATGGGGCACCTGGGTGGCTCAGTGGGTTAAAGCCTGTGCCTTCGGCTCAGGGTCCTGGGATGGAATCCCGCATCGGGCTCTCTGCTCAATGGGGAGCCTGCTTCCCTCTCTCTCTCTGCCTGCCTCTCTGCCTACTTGTGATCTCTCTCTGTCAAATAAATAAAATCTTTTTTAAAAAATGCATACAATAAGGAATCATTATTTGTACTTTCTGTACTTTTTCTGCCTACTTGTGCTCTCTCTCTCTGTCAAATAAATAAAATCTTTTTAAAAAAATGCATGCAATAAGAAACCATTATTTGTTTTTTCTGTACTTTTTATTCTTTGGACTATATGGGACAAATCAATTCACACATAATCATTCATAAAATTGTGTTCATATTTACTTTGTTAAAGAGCTTTGATATTTGAATGAAAGCATTTATATTTTGATATTTAATTTTCAAAAACTATTCTCAAGTAATATATAAGCATAATTCTATCTCACAAAAGGGCTATACAACTTACCGGTCTTTTATCTATTAAATTATGAATTTAAATATTTTTTAAAGATTTTTATTTATTTTTTTGACCAACAGGGATCACAAGTAGGCAGAGAGGCAGGCAGAGAGGAAGGGAAGCAGGCTCCCTACTGAGCAGAGAGCCCAATGTGGGGCTCGATCCCAGGACCCTGAGATCATGACATGAGCCAAAGGCAGAGGATTAAACCCACTGAGCCACCCAGGCACCCCTGAATTTAAATATTCTTATACAAGTGCGATCATACTAATACATTTGATGATTGTGGTAGCTATGTTTCATAAACACCCACCACACTGAATTAGTTCCTACTGAATCATTGCTGAATCATAGGTATATATCTCATGTATATAATCATATATATAATCTGAAATTCTAAAAGCAACCCATCCTTTGGAGATTTTATTTTCTCTAATTTACAAAGAAGCAAAGGAGGTTCAGAAGTGCAAAGTGATTTGCATGGGGCCACCCCACTAATAGATGCCAGAGTTGAGATTCAAACACTCTCCAATGGCCCCTCGATGTGATCTTGCAATACAGTGCATTGCTCCCTACCTTTTTTATACTCTCTGTATAAGAACTGAAATAACAAGGCAGGGTATCATTTGTTCATCCTCAGCAGAGAATGTGAACCTTAGAGTCACTGAATTTTTTTTCACCTTGGGCATTAATTCAAATGATCAAGTGAGATCTATGAATATTGATTTGGGTGTAATAAATCCTAGCAAGTAGGCAAATTTGCAAATACAGAATACTTGAGTAATTATTGACTATTCTGTAACATTGTTTGAAATAAATTTGAAGTGGATAAGTTTTAAAAGGTAAAATATAGGGGCACCTGATTGGCTTAGTCAGAAGAGCATGCAAGTCTCAATCATGAGGTTGCAAGTTTGAACCCCACCTGGGGTGTAGTAATTACTTAAAAATAAAATGTTTTTTTTTAATCTTTTGAAAAATCAATCAATGAAAGGTAAAATATAAACCAGATTTTTTTTTTTGCAGGTTATATGTTTAGTTGAAAGCTTGAGAGATTTTACATATAAGTTTTTAATATTAATTAGAAAGATTAGTAAAAGATATCTGGGCACTGAAATGGATAAGTGTATATAATACTGGTGAAAAAGCTGAAATGAGTTAAAGGAACTGATGCCTCCAGATCTCCATCACTTACTAGCTATGTGTCAAAATAAACTTAACATCTATCTTTAGTTCCCTTAATTATAAAATGGGTAAAATAGAACCTAGCATATAAGTACTGTGAGACTTTAAAAAGTATTTTATGGATTACTTAGCTATAAGCCAAAGAATTTATTTTTTTTATATTTCTGTTATAACCAGTAAGGTACAGATATATTTTGTTGTTGAAACAGATTTGGGCTTTGAGTAATGGTACATGATGAAACTATTACATGATATCCAGGATGTGGAAGGCAAATTATACATTTTTATTCTCAAGCAATAAATGAAGGATACCGAAAATATTTCATTGGTTTGTTTCATATACAGTTTGTAGCAAATATAGTTATAAAATTCAGTAATATAAAATAGTTTGTATATTTTGTTTATTATGCAGAAACAGAATCAATGCAGCACACCACACTAATAGAATAAAGGAAAAGAACCACATGTTCACATCAATGATGTGGAAAAAGCATTTGACAAAAAGCACACTCATTCATGACAAAAACAACAAGGTAAGAACAGAATGATACTACCTCAAAATAATAAAGGATGTATATGAAAACCTATAGCTAACATTATGATCAATGGTAAGAGATTGAAAACATTTCCCCTAAAATCAGGAAAAAGACAAGGATGCCCATTTTGCCACTTCTTTTCAACAAAATCCTAGAAATTCTAGCCAAAGTAATTAGGCAAGAAAATTAAATTAGAGATCCAAATTGCAAAGAAAAATTATCTCTATTCACAGATGATAACCATCTTATACATACAAAATCCTAAAGATGTCCCCCAAAATTGTTAGACTTAATAAATTCAGCAAAACAGCAGGATACAAAATCAATACCAAAATATCAATTACATTTCCATACACTTAACAATGACAACTCCAAAAAAGAAAACAATCCCATTTACAATAACATCAAAAAGAATGAAATACTCATGAATAAACAACCAAGAAGATGAAAGAACTATAATTAAAACTAGAAAACTTTGTTTAAAGAAGTTTAAAGAAGATATAGACTCCCATGTTTGTGGATTAGTCAACTTAATAGATGCAAATACTACCCACAGAAGTCTACAGATTCATGCAAATTCCGTCAAAATCGGCATGACATTTTTTGAGAAATAGGAAAATATATCCTAAAATTCAAATAGCCAAAACAACCTTTAAAAAGATGAGAAAAATTGGAGGACCCACACTTCTTGATTTCAAAACTAACTAAAAATCTACAGAAGAAAGAATGGTATTGACAGACATGTATACCAATGGATGAATATAGAGCCCAGATATAAACCCTCACATATAAACCCTCAATATATGGTCAAATATTATTGAGAAAGGTGGCAAGACTATTCAATGGAGAAAAGACAATCTTTTCAACAAATGGTGCTGGAAAAACAATATCCATATACAAATGAATGGAATTAGACCCTTGTGTAGCTGGTTTAGTGTTCAGGAACTTCTCTAATTTTTGTTTGTGTGGGAAACTCTTTATCTCTTTTTCTATTCTGAATGATAACCTTGCTAAATAGAGTATCCATGGATGCACATTTTTCCCATTCAGCACTTTCAATATATCGTCTTACATGATAACTGGGCTTGAGCCAACTTTCTGTTCAGAAATCCACAGTTAGCCTTATGAATTTTCCC